CACAAAAATTGCACGAGTACATTACTATGGTGATAAGGTAAACACTCGTTTATGTGTTTCCTTCTGTGAAAGCATATTTAGTCACAAATCGAGGATTTTCTGATATTCTCCATACTGCAAAAATGATTTTCCTACCACTGAAGGGGCGACATCTCTCGGATCTTCAGTATAGCTACTTATTTATTTATTTATTTATTTATTTGTAGTTTGTTACAGTCAACAGGTTAAAATACCCAAATGACAATTAAAACTTAGAACTATCGCACTATTGCTACTGTGACATAAATCTCAAGAAATTCTGCCTATTGGACGCACGTGAAAAACTAAAGTCAAATACATGTTGACAATGATTGAACACACGGCACATGCTACGAACTGGCTCATTCAAACCATAATTTGTCCTGGAAGTATCGATGAACAAAAAGGCGTGTGTACGTAGCTGACGTCTCCTAATGTTTATGTTTAGCTGTGTAAGTAGCGAAGGGCAGTCGATGAGAGACGTTAACAGATCACTGACAAAGCAAGCTTTTGCAACATCACGTCTAACACTGAGTAGGTCCAGATGAATGAGTTTGCAACGACTCTCGTAACTAGGAAGATCCAGACGGTCAGTCCAGGGAAGGTGTCGTAGAGCATAACGGATGAATTTCCGTTGAATCTTCTCAACGCGTTGAATTCCATTTTGGTAGTATGGACTCCAAACAACGGAGGAGTATTCAAGTATGGGTCGCACCAAGCTGCAGTACAAGGCCTTTAAGCAGTATACATCTTTGAAGTGCTTGGCAAAGCGAAATATGAAGCCTAGCTGGGAAGATGCTTTCGAGATGATGTATGTCAGATGAGCGTTAAACGTTAGCTTCGAGTCCAAAAGCACTCCCAGGTCTTTAACCAAGGATTCTCGTGCTAGAGACACTCCGGACAAGCTGTAGTTATGGATGAGCGGTGAACGTTTGCGAGTGAAGGAAATCACTGAGCACTTGGATGTGTTTAATACCATACGATTTCTTCTGCACCAATCAGCAAACGTTTCGAACTGATGTTGTAAGAACTCGGCATCGTCTAGTTTCTCGATGATCGCATAAATCTTGAAGTCGTCTGCATAGGATTTCTTGTGACACCTTAGAACTGAGTTGACGTCGTTCATAAACAACAAAAACAGAAATGGCCCCAGATGACTTCCTTGCGGTACACCGGATGTAACAGGAAACGAAGTTGAAAACTGGTTGCCGAGCCGTACACGCATGTTACGCCCCATCAGATATGAACGTAGCCATTTGAGTAGCCTAGCATCAGCGCCTAATTTATCATACTTGGCCAGAGCGATTTCGTGGTTCATCTTGTCAAAAGCTGCTGACAAATCCATGTAGATTGCGTCAATTTGGCAGCCACGCTCTATCGAGCGAGCAAGAAATGAAGTGAACGTGGTTAAGTTTGTGGTAGTAGAGCGCTTGGGCATAAAGCCGTGTTGATCTTCCGAGATGTAGTGCGAGCAGCCGTGTGAAAGGAAGTCCAGAACAATCAGCTCGAAGAGTTTTGAGGTTGCACATAGAGCGGCTATGCCACGGTAGTTTGAAACTGTTTGCTTACAACCTTTCTTATGTACAGGAAAGGTGCCACCGAGCTACTACTCAAATCATATAATTAATTGAAAGCTTTCTATGCCAACCAATGTATGAATCTGTATTATTACAAGCACAGTGATATGGGTCACATTCGTCGACAACCGAGTATCAAATATACAGCAAGCAACTCAGCACTATGCTTGGAATCATGTTGCTGGCCAACTCAACCTAGCGGACTGCATTTCCCGAGGAACAGAAGTGGAAACCATCCTTCACAACGATCTGTGGTGGTGCGGACCAACCATAGCTGCATCTTGAACCCTCTTCATGGCCCAACCAACTGACAACCAACATTTCGAACGACATTACACTTCACGAAGCACGCAAACTACCAGTACAAGCAACTGCAGTAACCACCGAGCCATCGTTCATCGATTTGCTAGTGAGCAAGTTTTCGAACTACCACCGGCTGCTACGGGTCGTCGCGTACTGTCGCCGATTTCTACGGAACTGCAAGCCACCTTCATCAACAACACATCCTTTTCTTAGCTCGAAATAGCTCGAAGCTCGATTGGTTCAGCAACAGTTCTACAACGAAGAATGGAAAGCACTACAGAAATCACTACCGGTTTCGTCCAAATTCAAACTCCGATGGTTTCAACCCTTTATCTCCAGCGATCAACTTATGAGAATTGAGAGCCGTCTAAATTAGGCTCCACACCTTTCGATAGCAAACATCAGATTATCATGCTAGCAAGGCACTTCCCTAATACAAATGTTATGGTTAATTTGCTTAACGACGTGTTCGTGGTATCATCCAAACCATTTGTGGAATAGTTCAATCATTTGGGTTATCGTTCGTGTAAGGTAATTTTTTATTAGGGTTATCCACTCTTTCGCTTCGTTCACCGCACCAAAAGCTTCTGCACGCCGCCCCTCAGCTTCTTGTGACTATCCTCCGCCTGCGATACTGGAGCCTGGCAAAAATTATCATACACAACTGTGTCACGTGCGTACGAGCCCGTCCATAACAGCTGCAGCAGCATGTCTGAATTACCAGCATCAAGAATTACAGCACGCAGACCATTTTCCAGCACTGGCATCCATTACTGGGGTCCAATTTCACTTCAACCACCACACCTTTGCGCCGCTCCCAGAAAGGCTTACGTTGCGGTGTTCTGTGCTTTTCGACCCGTGCGGTTCATTTGAAATCGGTCACCGTTATTGCAAGCGCTGAGACGTTTTGTAGCACGAAATCTACTCCCACAACGAACGAAATTCCATCGGTGCAGCTAACGAGCTAACTGATTCGAAGCTAGGAGCATCAAAGAGCGATCGTAGATGAATGTGCAGCCAACGGTATCCGATGGCGCTTCAACCCTCCCAAGGCATCACACTTTAGTGGCCTGTAGGAGGCAGCCATTTTAATCCACACAGAAGCATTTTGTGGTTCTTGGTACAAGCACACTCGCCCACGACGATATGGAGACGCTGTTGTCGTAAATTGAGTGCTGTTCCCTAATAAAAATTGTATGGTTAATTTGCTTAACGACGTGTTCTGGGTATCATCCAAACCATTTGTGGAATAGTTCAATGATTTGGGTTATCGTTCGTTTATGGTTATTTTTTATTAGGGTTTGCTTTCACATACGATGACCCCTCTGAACGATGATCCTACAGATTACGAGGTGCTTACTTCTGGTAACTTTTTTAACGGATCTGCGCTCAAGCTAGTTCCTGACAACGATGTCTCCAAAATCCCGTGCAACGGGTTAACTAAATGCCAGCAAGTCCAAAAGAAGTTTCAAATCATCTGGAAAAGATGGCAATTGGAATATTTAGCCACCTTGCAGCCAAAAATGAAGTGGTGCAATCCACCAATCAAACTGGAGAAGGGTCAGCTAGTTCTCCTTATGAAAGAAAGATCTCCGCCCTGATGGAAACACAAGGGTGGTCATTCTATGTACCGCCCACGCTACACTCGTCCTGTTAGCAAGATTTGCCTACTGCCGATTACACCATCCGACGAGAAAACATCAGACCCAAACACTTCAACTCACTAAGAAGCTGAATACCAACAACAACACTGAGTCATCGTTTCATCAATTTCGTCGCTGATGCTGCACTGCTTACCATCTGGAGTCACCTGAAATTATATTAATACAAGGCCCTAATGAATTAGGGACAAGGTTGGCCTCTGTCCAATAGTTTGATCCTGTAAAAACCATCAACCGGGTCTTCTGTTTTCCATGTAAATTTATATCGCAGCCGAGAGAAAACATCGAGGAAGAGTAAACGTCATCCGTCAATCATCAACCAGAAATGGTGCTTTCTGAAGGGGCCAGGATGTTTGTGTACGAATATACTAGCGCCGTCTAGTTGTCGGAAATGACCATCACCCTTAAGAAAGATCCCTTGTTCGTCGATTTCAACGAGTTGTCGTCCCAACGGAGGCAAGGAGGCATCAGACAAGATGGTGTTGTCATTTATATATTTCCTTTTTCCGCCGTTCATGGAAAACCCCAGAGTATAAAAACGACAATCCCGCATGTGAAAAGATCTCTTTTCGTAGCTGCTAACACCGAAGAAAGCATAGATTGTGCTGAACAAAAGTGGACAAAGTCCAATTTGAAATTATTGAAATTACTTAGTTGTTAAGCTGAAATAAAAGTTAATTAAGATGTTTTAAGTTGAAAATAAAGTGAACTCGTGAGTTGTATGAACATTAATCTGCAAAATAAAGTAATCTTCATGAAGTGATACCATCAGATAAAGTGAACTGAAACTAAACTGAGAAAATTAAGTGATCTGTGAAGAAAGTGCCACGAATCAACTGGAAATACGACTGCTCTCCGCATTGATATCGGCACGTAGTTTAATAAAAAAAATGCCACAGGCCCCCTCCAGTAAAATTTTCTAGCTACGCAAATGCCGATTCACTTGATGCAATTTGTAATTCCACTGATTCAGATCAATCACGGAGTAGCAACCATTGATAAATGCTGTCAGTCTAAGCTAAGCTAAGCAAAACATGTTGAATGGAGCTCGCTACAAAATTTGATTTTTGATAAACGATAGCATAGCGTTTTAAGGTAACCAACCATGATGAAAAATGTGCTACAATGCTTTAGAGGGTGACCAAAGTTGGTGCTTCATGAAACGTGAACAAACTTTAAACGTTTTTTTTTACGTTTTATAAAACATAAATTTTGGACCTCCTCCCCTTGTAGCGTATGCAGAAAGTATCCTCAGCATCGACTATGCAAAACAAGATCAAGGCAAAGTAGGCATTTCAATCGCTAAAACGAATTTACTCATAGTGATCCTCAAAAACATGCCCAACATGCATATCATTTATTTATTTCATTAGTTAATATTTAACAGTTGTCTTATAACTTGTCATGCAGATACCAATAAACATATTTTTATTTCTTTCAGAACTGTCATCGCTGCTAAAAATGAGAATGCGGATGTTTACCTGTCAGACAATGTACAAGAAGCATCGGTTCCATTTCATCTACTGAAAAATAAACCATTGAAATCAGTAACGGCGCAGTATTTACCTTTAGTTGCCAACAACCTGAAACAAAAGATTAAGACATTTGACACTAATGTTAAATACGGAGTAAATCAACTAAAAACTGCACTTTCAAACAACATAAATGCAGCAGTAGTACATTTGGATAGTTCAGTTTCTAATAAACTAAATGCTGGAGTAGCCCACTTAAAAAGTGCAGTATCACATAAATTGCACTCACTTGCTGAACAAGTACAGCAATATAAGCAAAAGCCATACGCTGCTCATTTAGACCAATTTTTATATTCGAGAAATCGTCTCAACATTCAACAATATGAAAAGCAGCAAACTCCAATTTATGTTTCATATGTAATTAAGAATCCAAAACTATTAAACAAACCTCTTAATAAGAAACGGACACAGCCCAATAAATACGATGCTTTAATGACTGACTTAGGTATTTCAGGATATAAACATTTTGAAAATTCAGTAATTCGTGATTTGGAAAAACGTGAGGAACAGAAAGTGGAAGCTACTATACATACGTTGTTTGAAAATCCTAAATACGCTCTTGAAATGCCATCTAAATTGACAAACGCCCTGAAACCTATACTTTTCGAGGATCTTCACAAAGCATCATTATCAGATTCATACGTAGCTAACTCTGTAATGCAAAATTACACAACTCAAGACAATGATATTGTCACAAATGAAGCTGATGCCATCGTACGAAATAAGAAACCACATTTTAGAAAACAGATTATCACTACAACTCAAACTCCAGTAACTACAAACAAATCACACGGGAAACATGGATTTGATTTAACAAGGGAAAAAAAATCCGAAAATAATACTCTGATGTTTCAATTCAAGTCACCAGACCTAAACGATCATAAACTTCACAGCAAGAAGGAATCAAAGAAAGTTAACAAAGATTCAAGATCTGTTCAGCGTAAAAAGCTACCAAAAATACATGTGACATCGACACCTTCATCTCCTCTGAAAAGTATTCATAGATCACCATTAGATTTGAAGGATCAAGAAAGCATCCAAAACCGAGTTATTTCGTTAAACGAGTTTGAGATATCCACAAAAAACCCTAATCAATGGCACAAACAAGCCCTCAATAAGCAACCACAAGAAACAACTACAATGCATCCAAATATTACAACGCAACGACCTACATACGTACCTAATAGGTTAACAAAGCATTCATCTCACAAACTAACATCAAATCGAAAATCTTTAGACACATATGGGATATTATCGCAAAGAAAACAAAATGCTGGCAAAGTTAGTGGCTACCGAGGTTCTATTAAATTTAGTGATCACATGCAAAGTGAACATACATATTTTTAATTTAAATCATTATTTAAATTTATTTATGACAAACATTATTTATTTTTGTGCAATAAACAATCGCTAAACCATTATGACTACAGTCTAAAGTAAATGTAGTAGCAGCAAAATAAACTCAATTATTGATGATCAAAAAGTATCCCTATTTCGTTGATTTCAAACAATTGTTTTTGATGTGTGTCCCTATGCCAAATTTTACAAAATGAATTATAACAATAAATGTCCATCCATCCAATGAGCTTAAAGTATAAAGAATGTATGAGCTCTTTTTAATAAGTGCAAGACCAGGAAACAAAGTATGCACCAATGTTGCATTATCCAAAGTTCCACTCACCAAATATCTTAAATATTTTTCGATACTTTTTTTTGTTGGATACGTTTTGTAAAATATCATTTTCACCGAAAGTTTAGTAAAACATATGATTTTACCAATTCTCCGCAATCAAAACTGCTGAATTTCCATAAATTACATAAATTTACCGAAAACTGTAAATAAAAATTACTGATCAAAACTGTAACAAACTGCAATTCCGCGATACTGTAAAAAGTGTGGCGAATGTACTGTAAACATAATCTTTTACAAAAACAAACCGTAATAGTAACAGATTATTGTAAACATTACCGAACAAGATTGTAAATTTCATTCTGTCAATCTCAGTATTTGCCACTATTTCAAAGTTGAGTTTTCTTCGGTTCTCCGATGTGAAAAGTAAGTAATTTACTATTTTTGCTACTTACAATCCGTTAAACCTATGCCGAAAGGTTAATTTTTCAGTGAACTTCTAGACCAATTGCTTTCAGTCACCATGGACTTAAGGCGGCCTAGTGTCCTTATCAAACGCAAAAAAACCAATTTGTGTATGGTTTGTTACGGAGTCAGTAACATCGTCCTTCTCTGTTGAATATTATTTTTGTACGAACGTAGGATGATAATATACAAAGAATAACGTTTTATGAGTCAAACAAATGGTTTGTTTTGTTATCATTTTAATTTTAAGAAAACACATGGAAGAAATAATCAATAAATCAATCCAAAACCATAATTTTGGTACATTCAAGAAAATAATGAATTACAGATATTTCGGCAAAAATGATACCGAACGCTATTGTAAACTTTACCAATCATTCTGTAAATTGACAATCCAGGTCAGTAAATTTTGACAGCTCAAGAGTGAAGAAAATTTACTGAACGGATTGTAAATAATAAAATTACCAAATAGATTACCGAATGTTCAGCTGTTCCATATTCGGTAAAAAATTACAGTATACTGTAAAAAATTCTTAGTGTGCATGATCGGTAATGGCGGCCTGTTTGTATGACCAAATGTATCCTTCACTGTTCTTTTTGACACTAACTGGAGGGCGTATGCAGAGTCAATGTTATAATAAGAGTCCCGCCAAGAGAAAATGTTGCGAACAAGCAGCACTATTTGTGATTTATTTTTCGTCAGAGTTAACGGCAACCAGATGTTTTGCGTTAGCATCGGAAGATTTTCATTAAGAAGATTTTCATTAAGAAGTGAATAATTTCATGTCGATAACGGAAACAAAAACAATTATAGAACCTGAAAAATGTTCAAATAAGTTCTTGGCATAGCTTATAAATACCACAATATACTAAATAAAGCGAAGAAATGTTTTTCATCTAAAATTACTAATACCTCGTTCACATTACAGCCTATATCACGTAATATAAGCTGTCTTGCAATGAGTACTCATACATAGAATTTCCAGTGAAAACTAGATGTATGAGTGCTCATTGCAAGACAGCGTATATCACGTGATATACGCTGTAATGTGAAATATTGTCAGTAATGAATGCAATACTTGTAGTTCAATAGCTGTGGGAACAATAATGTTTATTTACTTTGCTTGTTTGGTACCCCACTTGACAGTTTAATTTGTACTTCTGGCTTCACTGGCGAGACTTATTATAACCAGCCCTCCCCATGGACATGGAGGTTGACGGTACTGAAGCAAAGGGTTATGTTTATTTTCTTTATATTTGCAACGATGATGATTTCCTATAGTGACACATATCACCTTCTTAATGCTTCAGTATGCCTCAAACGATTAATTCTTGGTTGTTAATAGAACTTCCTTGATGAAATCGGCTGCTTCATGCAGACTGAGCAATTCTGATTATAGTATCAGATTTGTTCTGTATACAGAGGAACTGGGAGGGCTTATTAGAAACTTCTCACCAATCTTCTAGAAATTTTGCATATAATTTATTAATATTTTATTTTATTTAAGCATATTATTTTTGTTACAGTCAATTAGCATTAGCATACAATAAAAGAGATTTAATATTACTTGCTCGTTTTTGCGTAAAATAATCAAAATTTATTTTACTTGTAATAACCTTTGAAAGTTTTTTTCATGTTTTTTTTTGTGATCTGAAAATTTTTCCAGTTTGGTTAGAAGTTTCGAAGCTAACGCATGTCCACAGGCTTAATAGAAAGATAGGCAGAAAAAGTTTATCATGAAGAATGGTTGCATGTAGGGTTGCTTCCACTCACTTTCTATAGATGCGTGATTTTCGGAGTTTTGAATGCGTTAGATGTTGTAATGGAGATTTGTGTTGTTGGATGCAGGAGGATATTGGAGGGTGGGTGTTTGACGCATAGTGCCTGTCAATTTCGCTTTCAGAGTGTCGCAGTCAGCGGTTTTATGATTCGTGAGCGCTTGCGATTCGTAGAATCGTTGATTGTGACTGCAAGTGGATTTGGCGGGTTTTGTGTGTCGGACGCTTGCTTTTTGGCCTCTTTTTGTGTCTAACATGTGCAGAGTTTCATTATAGCGTCTAATGGTTTTGAGATTCCTGGTTGCGTGAAATATATTTGTGAGAATATCTTTTTGAGATTTTAGTAGTCACGTTTTGTTTGTAGTTTATATTTTATTTCTTTCATGTAATTATCGTAAATAATAGTTATTCAATAATATATATTTTATCCATATATTCGTACTTTGATGCGAAGCGCTCTGGATTATGAGATGCTCGATGACCCTGGAGGGATTGATTTTGCTTACTGAGCAGAAAATCATGGATTTAACCCCAAGCTCTTCCACAGCACAATAAATCGCCACCATCATTTGTATATTTGATATTGAACATTTACCTCGGAAACTATTTGCATATCAGGCGAAAATGTAGTCCTGTATTTTTGCGAAGCGTTATGGTTCTGAGATGCTCGATGACCCTGGAGGGATCGTTTTTGCTTACTGAGCAGAAAATCATGGGTTTAATCCCAAGCTCTCCGTCATGACTCTTAAAATTCATGATCACTAAACAAAATGAATATGTTCTTTCGATAGCCGGCTATCGAGAGATTAAATAAACAGCAAATAAACAATACATACTTTTGGTTGCATCGCCAATTTGAGGTGAATCCTAACCGAATACCCTTCCCAACCCTCCAACTCCGTAGCACTTATGAGGGTGTCGCTAAGTCGGTGGCCTCTCGTTAAGTAAGTACTACATCAACATTTCCTTCCCTATCCCTAGTTATGGTAAAGATGGGCGTGGCCGGGAATAGCGACAGTCATGCTTCTGTTACTCTTGTTTAGATTGGAACCAATGTTTACTCCCCAGCATTATTCCTGAAAGTAGTCTAACTGAGAATTCCAGAAGAGACGTGAGTGTCACTAGTATCCAATCTACGAAGTATATCATAACAACGCTAACGCTAACGCTAACGCACTGGCGAGACTTATTATAACCAAGGTGACTACATATAGGTGTTCTAATGTGTTAAATTCATGATTCAGCCATGTTGGATTTTTGTATGGGACAGCGACCGAGTTTGTTTACAATTTGCTCTAAAACCGCACTCCCCTCCCCCCTCCCCCGACCTCCTTGCCTATAAAGTGACAAAGCTGTATCACCATGATTATAACATTGACTCTGGGGCTCTGGGCGTATGTTGTTCCATTTTCATCCTGGGAGAGGGAGAGGGAAAGGGAAAGGGAGGGGACAAAATCCGAACATCCAGATAGTGTCAAAAAGCACAGTGAAGGATACATTTATTCATACAAATAGGCTGCCACTCGGGCTGCTATTACCGAGCATGGAAGCTGGATATATAACATAATGGGCGGTAAGCTCCACCCAACAAACAATCGTCTATTGAAGAAACGACTTCTTGGCCATTTTATTCAACTGCATGCTTAATAGTACTTGTACTATTTTTAATAATAACTTCTGTTCAGGCTTTGTTCACACAAATCTGAAGAATTTATTCAACCTCAACATTGAACTACTGGTGTTGTATAAGGTATGTCGAGAAGCTTTTATTCGACTTATA